TAGAATATTGACGGCAGAAAATGGAACATTAAAATGTAACTGTCCACCAAACACATTCGGTGACGATTGCAGTAAGTACAAATTAAAATAAAGAAATTTACCAATCTCTCCTCGCTCGTCTAGTCGTTCAGATGGGACAATAAACTGAGGCCCCATGTGCTTCAGGCTGTACACGTTAAAGATTCTCGACATTTGGAAATCGAAAAAGAGTAGGTTAATGCCACTGTCCTGGTAAAAATTCCCCTCATTGTACAATGCATGGCGTTGTCAGTCTTCATTAGCCCACATGATACAGAAAGTAGGACGTAAAACTCCATTCATTTCATTTTTCAAATTTTGTCATTGATATTTTAGAATGTGGGTACAAGTACAAAATTTCCTTCATTTTACACTGCATGGCGTTGTCCGTCTTCATTAGCAAAAGTAGGACGTAAAAATTCATTCATTTCATTTTTCAGAATGTCGATACAAGTTTTCAAATGAACAATATTTGGAGCCCGATCCCTACGCAAAAAGAACTGTGTCTGATTCAGCGGAATGTGATGAATACTGTGCTAACGATACCAGATGTTCCACTTCTGCCATGAGTCATAGTTATAGTGGTAAAACATGTCAACTTTACGAAACACCAGTCATCTTCGTGTCGTATGAAGAAAACCAATGTTTTGAAAAGTGCAACGAGATGAGTGAATGTAAAACGCTTGGCAAAGAAGTGCATACTAATTCTTCCTGTTATTTATTTAACGCCACCTTCGACAAGATTCCAGATAAAATGAAACGACCTTTCTATTGGGCTTTTACCGTAGCAGAAAAAATCTGCGAATAATAAAAAAAAACATGTTTATCATGATATAGATTTATCTCTTTTTTGTTTGTGGCAATAACCTTGGGTATAAGGGGGTGGAAGCTGACTCTAAGAAGCACAGGCACAGGCATCAAAATTTTTCTTACTTTCGAACCCACGGCACCTAATCGCCTAGCAGACGACAATACTGACTGAGCTATTCTAGAAACTGGGTAGTAGGGGGCGAAAGCCAATACCGGGATGCCTCTAAGAGGCCTTGAGGAGGATTCGAACCCACGGCACCCAATCACCTAGCAGACGACAATCCAACTCACTACTGACTGAGCTGTTCCACTGCCAACCTAGCGTTTTACGTTGTGAACCCCTTCAAAGAGATATTCATATAGCCTAGCACGGGCAAGGATAGGTATTAGGAGGTGAGAGCTAACACCGGACCAACTCTATGAAGCACTGGCACGGACAGGATAGATGTGGCAGATAAAAATCATCACCGATGAAATTTCGGGTAACGTGACATGTCAAGCTATTGAGAACTTCGTTTATACCCTGACTTCAATA